AAAAAAAAAAAAAAAGGAAATTTAGAATTTGAAAAAAGTTCTACATGTTTTGGCCAAAAAGAGGAATGAGAAAATTGCTTATAAAAAAATTTCAAAAGCTCTTAGAGCTGTAAAAACAACTCACATGAGCAATGAGAACACGACATCCCTTATTGGGATAAAACCATTTGAAATGTTAGGATCAATCTCTATTGATGCAAAATTAATGCACTGCTCAAAATGGGCCTGAAAAATAAAGATAATATACTATAATAAAGATTGTGTGATACACAACAAAATTTACTCAAATATCTCTTGAATGCAAGAATTAAAAAGATATTAAGATGATAAAAGGTCTTACACAATCAATTAGAGTAGAACCACATAAAGGATTATCAACCTTCAAATTGGTAATTGTAACAAACCAAATAAATCTGATGAGTTTGAAGAAAATTATCAAAGGACCACCAAGGATAGGGGGGAGGGGGGAGGGAGGGAGAGAGGAAGAATTATTCTCACCATAACAATCAATGGAATTATGACTAAAGATTAATTATTGCTTTGCAACATCTCATCTTAGACAAATACCTTTTCAATAGGGTTAATCTTTAGAAATTCAGGGGTTTTGTTTGATATACCCAACTCAAAATTTTCAACCAGTTTGATAATGGCACCACCATGCTACAACAATGATTGCCTTAAATAGTTCTAGATGATCACCCACATTGAATATACTAACTATGTTAAAGAGTATGGGTAAATAAATTATGCAATTTAATAATTACAAAAATCATAATAATCAACCATAAAAACTTGACTCTCTCATATAACTACAAAAATCATAACAATCAACTAGAAAAACTTGATTCTCTCATACAATAAACATCTAAATATTAACTTCCTAAAGCACTACTCAATCAAAATTCATCTTGTTCATCCAAAAATACTTTTGTATAACTCATTTGCTATTACTAAAACGGTAAAACTTTCCCAACCATGTTAAAAAGTATAGGTAAATATATTAAGTAATTCATATACAATGTTCCCTACTCAACCTCAAGTATGCCGCACATATGTCTTATCAAGATCAAGCAAACATTTTGATAGCATTATATGGATTTTCACCCTTTTTTTTGGTGATTACTACTATTAAAATGCTAAAATTCTACTCTCCCCCTCCCCTGCTATGCTCATTTTTGCATATTTTATCCCCCAATTGGGTTGCCTAAGTTGAAGTAGAAACAACTCCAACATCAATGACACCATTGCTTTAGTTGTAACTATAATAACTACTTCATCTTCAATTTCGAGTTTCAACAAAAAAAATCATAGAAATATCAAATAACTTTATCAATAAAAATTACTAAATTTTTTAAAAAAATCAAAATTAGAAGAAAAAAGAAGGAGACCCAAAAAAAAAAAAGGTAAAAAACTTCAAAATAAATAGAACCTGAGTTTATGAAGGTGATGCTAGCGAAAACGGAGTGGAACTCCTCTGTTAGAGCTACAAGTGTCAACAATGCTTGGATAAACGCATGGTGCTTCTAGTTCAACGTAGCATTGTTAGTTTGATTTAGGGAAATAATAATGAAAAATTAGAAAAATAAAGGAAATTTGCAGAGATAGTGATGAAAAGAAGTGTCACTCTTTAACATTCATTTAGGCATAATCTCGGCATAACATCTCCCTCTCAGCTTTTTCTCATCAACCATTATCCACTTACTTGCCTTAATCTTCATAACCCAATGATTTTATCGTTTCTTTTAGATCTAATTGCCTGGGGAAAACGTTATTCAAGCATGGTAAGAGAAGTAGAGAGAGTAGCAAAAAGGGGAGAGGAATTGGAATGGACAGGGAAAGAAAAAAGAAGGAAACAAAAATGCTAGTTTAAGTGTTTTTGTTTGGTAAAATGTAAATTTGGGTCCCTCAACTTTAAGATTTGCACAATTTTCATCCCTCAACTTTTTGTACACTTTTTTAGTCTCTTAATTATGAAAAATGCACTTTTTAGTCCTTCCATTAGTTAATCTGTTAAATTTACTTGAATCTGCACATTTCTAGTTCCTTAACATATTAATTAATGAAAGGACTAAAAAATGCATTTTTCATAGTCAAAGGACCAAAAAAGTGCATTAAAAAGTTGAAAAATGAAAATTGTGTAAAACCTTAAAGTTGAGGAACCAACATTAGCATTTTAACCTTTTTGTTTCGACCTACCAGATATTCAATTTTGATTGGATTATGAATTTCCTCTCTTGTGTTAGCTTTTCTACAATCCACAATCTGATTCCAAAGGCAAGCATAAAAAGGGAAACAATCAAATATTCGAATATAATTGAACAAAGCAGCAATGTTTTGACTCAAAGGGACCAAAAAACCAAACTCAAGAGAGTAGATTCTACAATGAGGTATATGGGCAAAAGAGGAAAGAGAAGAGCCAAGTTTGAGAATTAAAAAGGAAACTAAATAAATATTTTTGTAAAAAGACCAAAAAGGCTAGAGTATAAGGGGAGGGAAGTTGGGAGAACGAAAGGGAAAAATATGGAGAAAAACACCTGTCAGGGGAGGAGAGTTAGAGTTACTGTTCATTTTGTTTATTTTGTGAGAGGGGGTCTTCCTCCCGTTAACTATTTAGATATAAGAGTGAGCTCCTGTTGAACATATTCTAACAATCAAAGCAAGTCTGGTGACAATCTTTTCTTCTAGTCAAGAAAAGAAATCTGAAGTTTGAATTTATGATCATACAAGTGAGCTGATGAAAAACAAAAAAATAGTTCTTATTATGTAATTTAAAATAATAAAAAAATCCTACCATTTCAAGGACTTTCTCTCATTTAATGGTCATCTTTTTGCAGTCTGCCCTCATAAAATACAGTCAGTTATTTTCCTTTGGAAAGATAATTGAAAGCGTAAGATTATTTTGAAAAAGAGGCTAGTATAAGGCCCAAAACATTGGTCTTCTTTGGTTGTTCCAAGAAAAGGAAGTTAAAAAACTTCTACTAGCATTGGGCTTAACAAGAATAGAACAAAGCAGCCCATTCAGTCTATACCGTTCATATATAGCCCAATCCATCAACATTTCCGTGAAATTACAGAAAACGCCATCACCAAATGAAAGTGAAACACAAAGTGAGAGTAAAGGAAGCACAAAGAAAACACAAAACTAAAAAAGCTTAGGAGTCACGCAGCCAATAGAGCAAAAGCGCACAGATCGCTGACCTGGAATGAAAATTCCAAATCCCGCCTAAAACCAACCCCCGATTTTTACATTTCATTTCGTGCGCAATTTAATTTCAATTTCCCCCAACATAATATCTCCGCCTTTCGGCGTTCTCTCCTCCCACATATTTACCCTTTACCCTTTCTTGTCTCCAAGCCGCGTCCCTAACCCTAACCCTAACCAAAAACCAGGTACGTTCCGTCCATTTCCGCCGCTCTACTTCCATTTCCGCTCAATTTCCGTCGTTTTCTGTTCATTTTCATAGATTTTTTCGTTTTTGCATCTGTTTCTGTTGCGATTTTTACTTATATGTTTCGTTTATTTTTCTTTGATTTCTGCCGATTTTCATCGAATTTGTGGCTCATACTGACTTGTATGTTTAGTAGATTTTGTATGGATTCCTGTAAGTTTTCGTCGGAATTTTTTTTTTTGTTAGTCGAATTTCGGTGTTGTTTTGACTTCTATGTTTCGTTGATTTCATTCAGTATTTTTCCGAATTTTTTCGGTTGTGTACGTTTTGTTCCGATTTTGACTTAAACGTTTCGTCGATTGTGTATGGATATTCTTTGATATTCTTCGGTTTTTTTCGTTTTTGTATCGATTTCTACTGCGATTTTGGCTGATCTGGTGTTTCGATTGCAGGATCCAACATGAAAGGAAGTAAATCGAAGTCAGATACCAAGAGTTCCAAGTAAGTTTCGTGCGTTTGACCTTTGTTTTTTCTTTATTTCTTCGTTGTTTCTGCCGCTTCGGGCTCAAAAACCAGTAGATCGCGGTTTCTGGATCTCAGATCTGTGACTGCGGTTTTTGAGATTCTCTGGTTTATCGTTTGTGTGATGTGGTTCCGCCTTTTGGTCATAGGCTTTCCGTCAATAAGAAAGCGGCCCCCACAAAAGCTGGGAAGAAACCGGGGAAGGCGGCCAAGGATCCAAACAAGCCAAAGAGGCCTGCCAGTGCCTTCTTCGTTTTCATGTAATTATTATCACCGTCTCTATAAAATATCTCGTTACTAATGAAAAATCCTCTTTCCGTCAAATATCTTTGGCATTAACATTCAAACAAACCGTTGAAGAGGTGAATAGAACAATTTTTTCTGCATTGAAATTTATTATGCTGAGGCAAATTTAGTGTAGATGGATTTTATTGATTTATATTGCTGTGTAAATTCCAATCTGCTTATGTTGATTTTACGGTTAAAGGGAGGAGTTCCGTGAGCAGTACAAGAAGGAGCATCCTAAGAATAAGTCAGTTGCTGCTGTGAGTATAAGGATAAATTGTTTGCTGTTCCTTGTTTTCATTTTATTTTTTCCCATTTCTGGTGCCGTATATGTGTCGATTGTAACATTTGTCTCTTGCGGTTGGTTAAACCTCAGGTTGGAAAAGCTGGTGGAGACAAATGGAAGAGTTTGTCTGAAGCTGTAAGTATTTTTGTTCCTTTTTTTTTTTTTTTCCCAAGCATGAACCAATTATGCTTATGCATGAAAATTTTTCTAATTAATGTGTAACAATTGATTTTAGGACAAGGCACCATACGTAGCTAAAGCTGAGAAGCGAAAGGTTGAGTATGAGAAAAACATGAAGGCCTATAATAAGAGACAGGTAGCTTGGTCTACTTGGTTTGAATTACCATTTCTTTTCGTTTGATTTTGCAGATTTGAGAAAGTTGTGTCTGGATTATAAACAGTTTACATGTCCTTATTAAAACCAGGCTGAGGGTGTCAAAGGTGATGAAGAAGATGAATCTGAGAAGTCAGTGTCAGAGGTGAATGATGAGGATGACGATGAAGAGGGCAGTGGAGAGGTGCGTTTGAATGTTGAATCTTACTTTGCATCAGTTATTGGTTATATTTTAATAACTCAATTGAGTTTAAATTTGTATTTTAATAACTTAATTGAGTTTAAATTTGTATTTGATTGTGCAGGAGGAAGATGATGAGTAGGAAATACTCTTGGGGGATAGTTGCTTAGGCTGTGACAATGTTTGATCATCTTATGTTAATGTTTCGGTGTTTTCCTCTACTCTTTAGATGCTTCAAGCATCTAAAAGAATTGTACCTTTTCTCCCTGTTATTTCCTTTTAACCATCGGAAATTATTAGTTGTAGATTGAAGATTTGATGTTATATGTACTTCAATTTAAAGTTTAATGGTTTAGCCAAGGTTCAATCTTTGTAGAGAATGTAGTGTTCTCGCTGTTAGAATATGCCTTGTTTTCATTTGTTTATATAGGGGTCGTTTGGTGTAGTTTTTCAAGTGTTTTCGTATTAAAATTTTTTTTTTAAAAGTTTATATTTTTAAATATTTTTTTAATTTTAAAAAAATTATAAACAATGAAAAATTAAAAATTAAAAATTTATGTTTTTTATAAATTTTATTTATTTATTTATTTATTAATTTTTAATTTTTTTAATAAAAATTTAAATTTATCATTCATAAATAATATAAAAAAAATAAAAACTTTTATAAATCGCATGAAACTGGCCTCAGAATCACTGCAGTTCTTGTGATTAGCCTTTAGATTATATCCTCCTCGTCCACAGGAAACATGGCATCATGATCATATCTACAATGTTTTGCTTGACGGTTTAAACGCTTTTTGCTGGTGCTTGGTTTCTGGTTCTCATGATGATTGCTTAGTATATTTCAACTTTGCTTTTTATTATTATTATTATTATTCTTGACATTCTGTTTAATTGTCATTTCTTACCTTCTAAAATGTTTACCCAGAGATAATAGTAACTTGAATCTTGATGTTTCTGTAATCATGGTGAGTTTGATTGATTCATCAGACGTTAAATTGTGGTTTTGGTTTTGGATTGACTTTGGGTTGTTTTTAAACAATTTCTTTTTAAACTTTTTAGTATTTAAAAGTGATGTTGAGTTTCAACTAATTTGAAATTCAATTAAATTAATTTGAAGTTCAGTCAGAAGATTTTATAGGGGAGGAAGGTTTTTTAATATTTATTTTTTATTGACAAAATATAAATTTAAAATTTGTTAAAAAAGAATTGAATTCTTTTAGCCTTCAGTATATGGTTGGTGTTCTTAAACATAATTGTCATGGTGAGATATTTTCTAAGATATTTTGAAGATTGGTGGTTGTTGGTTACGTTGGTATGTGTTTTCTTCCTTTAATAATGAATTTTCCTGGTGGTTGGGAAAGTCGAAAGGAACAGCTATACTAGTTTATTAGTCTAAACTACTCAACATTCCATAATGACCAAGGTTTAACAAGGTTTTTACCGAACCCGGATTATGCTAGGCACCAACCACTTGTGAATAGAAGTATGATTAATACATGTTTTTATAATTGCAAAACGAAAAATCAAGAAGTCTTGATATGTCAGGATTTTTATTAAGTCATCAATCATGTGATTTTTCAGTATGAAATTTACACAATAGATGGTTTGATGGATATCTTAACGTATTTATACAATTTGAAATTTTGAAAATCTTTTTATAATTAATTTTTATTGAAAATATAAATATTAATTTTTTTATCAATGATTTATTGGTTTGAGTGAAACTAGATTTCTTTTAAACAAAATCTCAAGTTTGAGTATTATGAATGGAGAAATAATTTTTGAAAGAGTTTTTTTCAATTTTTATCAATGATTTATTGGTTTGAGTGAAACTAGATTTCTTTTAAACAAAATCTCAAGTTTGAGTATTATGAATAAAAAAATAAATACTGAAAAAGTTTTCTCATATGAAATTCAATTCGATTCGATTTTAAATTAATCAAAATCTAATATGATTTTTAGATATTGAAGTTAATATAAAAAAATATTAATTTTAATCTAATTAATTAATTAAAATTATTTACACATAATTATATTAAAATAAATATTAATTTTTATATTTTATTTAAGTTAATTATAAAAAAATATATTAATTATCCTCTTAATTTGTGTTCTT